CTATTGTTTGCTTAAAGCATCTGTTTAATCCCTTAGAAAAGGAGAAGTTAACGTTTTCCAAAATTCAACGTTAAGAGTTAGTTTATGTTTCAATCTCATGCTAGGTGGCTTGAATCCTAATGTTATCGCAGAAAATTTTGCACATTAAGAGTTAATTTTTGTTTTCTTTCTTTCTTTCTTTTTCCCAATGAGTTCTTGTTTTAAACAATTTTAAAATTTAAATTTAAATAAGTGTTCAACTCTATATTTTGGATTTTTTTATTAAAAAATAAACTTTAATTATATATCTTTTGAAAAAAAAATAAAATTAACTTTCTGTAACGTAATTTCTAAAAGACATCAACAGTTAAGATGCCTATTGTGAAGAGTTTATGTTTCAAAAACTCTGTCATGTTATATGATCTCAGGGGAAAAAAAAAAAACTCTTTCATGTTATGTTTTTCTCTGCAAAAACTTTTCTCCAACATTGTAAGTGCACTATACTTCTTAAATAAATTTAATATTAATTATTCTCACCTCTGAAAACTTTTTATGTCTCTCAGTATTTCTTTTTATAATTTTAATTGTGAGTTTCTAACAAATTAATATTTGACACTGTAGATGGCAACTCAAAAAAATGGTAAGAAAGTACAGATGACTCCAAAAGAAGTACTGTTCGAAAAAAGACCACTACTTTGGGACAATCCTACAGCATGTAGCTCTACTTCACCACCCTTTTATATATGGGAAAGGATATTGTCTGAGTTGAATCATAAAATTGATATTGGTTTCAAAGTTCTTTTATAAGAAATACAAAGGTTGACTGAGTTAGTAGAAGCAATCGAGACATCGCACAATAGTGTCATCCACATAAGTTCTGATGATAGTGAAGAGGAGGATCCATCAGAGGAATATTATCCATGTTCTTAAACAAAATGGAATGATCAAGACTTTTTTTAATGTAATCTATATTATGTTTTATTAAATGTAATGTAAAATAAATGTTAATTGATTAATTGTGTTTGGTGGATAATATAATATATTAGAAGTTATTTTAACATAATGTTTTTTTGAAGAGTTATCTCAAAGAGTTGTCATGACTGTATAAATAGTTCTTTCTAAATTGATAAATTGAAATAACTATTCGGTGAGAATTCATTTTTGTTCTCTTTCAAGATAAACTATCTTCTTAACATAATAAAATGTGTGTATGAATCCATCTCTCTCTCATCATCTTTGTGAAGAAAAAAAATTCTCTTTGGAAAGACTTGTATGCAAATTGAAATACATGGTTAGAACTCTTATAATTACTTCATTTGTTACAATTACTTCAGTTATTGAATCATAAAAATTTGTACTGATCCTGTCAATTTGATTAAATCACAAAATTATATGCTTCCAAACAAAGATACTTGCAAACAAAGATAAAGGACATATTGCAAATTATTTCCAAACAAGTGTCAAAACAATTAACCCTTTTTTTTATAAAAGAAAAATTAAGAGTTTTAAAAGAAATAAAGTGTTCATTTACTGGGATATTGTATACATATATTCTCCACCAACTGACACGGTAAATAGATATATTTTCGAATAATTTCTCACTAAAACCTTCCATTCTCAAACAACACGTGGCATGCCCTCTTGGCAAATTTATTTCTTCTGGTTGAATATATATGAATATATACTGCAAGAGTCTGCGTTTGCTTAGCCAATCAAATCTCAATAAACAAATCATCTAACCAATAAAAATCCGACGCGTGGAAATTCAACGTAGCTTTGAGCGCTCTTATAGCAGCACAAGTCGTCTCACTCCATTTGACAGTTGAGAATTGTCCCGTCGTTTCATTCTTCACAAATACTCTTTTCAGATCTCAAATTCTCTCATCTCTCTCCGTCTGAAAACCCACGCAGCTCGCCGGAACTGGTGTTTCCGGTGATCTCCAGCACTCTGATGGAGTCTCACAGCACCGGACTCCGCCGTGTTCTGGTGCTCGCCTTCTGCATCACCGGCATTTGGTCAGCTTATATATACCAAGCAGTTCTTCAAGAGACCGTGTAATTTTTCTTTTCCATTAGTTTCAATTGTTCAAACCGACACGTCTTCTTCTTGTTTACATGGCAGTTTTTTTTTTATTCTTTATTTTTTATTCCCTTCTTCTTTGAAAAAAAAAATAAAAAAATTCCTTTTTTTTCATTGTTTCAAAACAATTTCAATCAAACCGACACGTCTTCTTCCTTCATGTCTACTCGGTTGTTGGTGTCTGAAGAATCTTATATATAATCGGCGGATTAGATCTTGCCTCTCTCATTCTACCTTTTTGGCTTCTTCTTCTACCCCTCTTGCTTCTTCTACCCATCTCTTCTTTCAACATTTATTATCTAACTCTACTTCAAAAATCAGTATTTAGTTGAAGCGCATAACTCAAGGCCTATTTTGGCTTAAGGTATGTTTTGTGTTATTTATATTTTTGTTTTTGAGGATACAATGTTTGAATTTTTTTTTTTTTTTCCTGAATGTTTGAATTTTTTTTTCCTATTATGTTTCTTAATTATGTGAAGTTTGTTGACCATAATTCATAATTATTCATGATGTTCTCGTTCTTTTGGTTCATGTACATCAGATTACAACTCAAAACTCTTAATTTTTTTATTTATTTTTTTAAAGGTATGTTTATATTTGAATTAAAGAACAATTCTGATTTGGATGCCTAAAGAATTAGGGCATGATTTTCTTTGTTGTTTTTCTGTTTCAGAAATATAAATTATTACTTTATCTATACGTAATGGTTAGAGAATTTCATCGATTGCTTTCACTACCATCACATTTTAACGATGCGCATTGCACTTGCCAACACCACATTGCTGTTCCAAACTCATCACATTAAATCTTGAACCTACCTTCTTCACTGATTGTTTATCCTCTCTGCTTTATTCATCAGCTGCATGAGCTGTTGATTTGTTCTCGGTGCCCTGACCTCGGACGGAGTTCGATATGAAACTTCACTTGTTTATCTCAAATCCGGTGACTGGTCGGAGTCGTGCTTGGATCCTCTCCTTTAGTTTTTCTCACCAAGTATCTCCCGAGTCAAGCCACAGTCCATCACACATATATATATATTTTTTTTCAGCATTGTACGTAAGCCCAATGGATAACAGTAGGATTTTACCGAATTCTGATAATTTTTATTTAAGTTTGTAAAGACCGTTTAACACATATAATGATCTATTTATATTTTTTTGTCACTGTCCTTAACTTAGTAATTATATATATATATATATTTTTCCTAATTTAATAAAATAGATTTAAGTATGAAATGAATAAAATTTATACCATAAGTAACATGTAAGAAGGGAAGAAGGGAAAATGAAAATAAAAAAAATAATATAAGTCAAAAGGACAGGAGACTGACTAAAAAAAATAATAGGTCTAGGTACTCATACTCACTATATGTGCGTTTTGCATGTCGCCTACTATTCATGTCGTCTCCTTAATTTATGTGTAAATTTAAGAAAATTTTGATAATTTATTGACTTTATGCATGTATGATATTTTTAGGATAGGTATGAGCCAGTTATGACAGCATATAAATTGGTGACTGTAGATGTTCAATACTAAATCATTTAATTTATTTTAATAAATAAATGTGACTTTTCAAATACCTACTTACACCTCTTCTAGAAGTCACCTTTTAACTGCAAACACCTATATCTAAAATCACCTATTCTAAAAAAACACCTTTTAACTGCACTAAAACCTCTTCAAAAACACCTTTTAAAAAACACATTTTAACCGCACTAACACCTCTTCAAAAAATTACCTTTTAACTATAAACACTTATGTATTCTATTTGTATTTTTTTATATACACCTTTTTATAATAATATAATATTATATACTTCTCAAATAACTACTAACACCTCTTCTAAAAGTAGTCTTTTATTATTTATATATAAAATTAAATCATTTAATTACTGATGTTTCAATCTCATGCTAGGTGGCTTGAATCCTAATGTTATCGCATAAAATTTTGCACATTAGTTATTGTGATCAACTGCTTACCATTTGTAATTTTAACAGAATTTTGATCAGATGTATGGAACTGTTTGCAAAGCTTGACTTAATTTATGTGTAAATTTAAGAAAATTTTGATAATTTATTTCTTTTTTTTAAAAAAAAAAGTAGTAACCTTATTATGTTTATATCAATGATGTATGCAGGTCAAAGAAAATACATTACTAATTTCAAATAAAGGGGATAAAATTTACAAGTGAGTGGAAAATTTATACTTTTCAATTTAATTTTTTTTTAGCTAGCTTTTTTTCTTTTTCTTTTTTGGTGCATTTAATATTAAAGCATTTATTAGGGTCTTGAATAGTTTATTTTTCCTTACCGGGTAAAGCTACTTTCTTATTTAATTTCAACGAATATATAGAATGCATAAAAGCTTGTAATTAGAAATATATATATATCATCTTTGTATGGTTGACTATTCAATTAAACACATAGATTTTATATTAAGACACCCTCTTAATTTACTTTATATTTTCTACTATTAGATGTAACAATATCATCTTTGCAAGGTGGATTAGACATATATATTTAATATGGAAGCACTATTTTTATTTACTTTTTATTTTCTATTATTAGGAGGAACAATTCAATTAGACACGATAATAGACGCGATAGATCTTTGTATGCTGGACCGTTCAACTAAACACATAGATTTTATATATGAAAACACCAGCTTAATTTACTTTTTTTCCCTATTTTTAATTAGATGTAATAAGATCATCTTTGTAAGGTGAACTATTCAATTAGACAAATATATTTCATATGGAAACACCATCTCTAATTACTTTATATTTTCTATTATTAGGTGAAACAATTCGATGAGACACGATAATAGACGTGCTAGATTGAATGCATATTACAGAAATAGATATGCAAGTTTGTCACCTGACCAAAGAGACAACCATATTCAAAACGTAAGAAATTCAATAAAGAAAAGAAAACGAGAGGAGATGGAAAAACCATATAATGACACAATGTCCCATGAGTTGAAGAAGGTCCCACAATGTGAATTTTGTTATGCAAAAAAATTTGAATACGAACCTCCAAGTTTCTGTTGCTCAAATGGTGAAGTAGTCCTAATGTCTACGAATGTGCCTAATGATTTATATGAATTGTTCACAAGCCAAAGTGCATTATCTGTAGACTTGCGCCGTCACTTGCGTGCCTATAATAGTATATTCTCCTTTACATCATTTGGAGTCCGTCTTGATAAAAATTTATCAAATATGAAGACCGGGATCTATACTTTTCGTGCACAAGGTCAAGTATACCATGAATTACCATCACTTACACTTGGAGATAATGGACCGTGTTACCTCCAATTATACTTCTATGACACTGATAATGAATTGCAAAATAGAATGAGAATTCTTAAAGATGCAAATTTGGAAGAGCCGATTGTCGTAAAGTTAATGGAGATATTATCTGCAAATCCATACGAACAGTTTTTCCGAAGGCTAAAAGATATTCCTGTCCAAGAGAGTTATGAGATCATTATAAAAAATGATGTTCGCCTCGACCAAAGAGTTTACAATTCACCTTCATCGGACCAAGTTGCAGCTGTGTGGATAGAAGGAACAAATTCAAATACACGTTCAGAACGAGATATAATTGTTACTGCGCACTCAGGAAGAAGACATAGAGTAAGGCACTACTTTGGATGTTATGATCCATTACAATACCTTTTATTATTTCCATTTGGTGAAATTGGATGGCATCGTAATATCAAAACACGACATCAACCATATATCGTTCAACATGTTACATGTGAAGAAGATATTTTTGAACATGATATTGCAACAAGAGTTGAACAAGGTAAATCTTAATGCAATATATTATTTAAATAAACAAAATTGATTCACATATATATTGAAGTGATAATTCAAGAACTTTAATAAATTATTTTACGATGATGCAGCAAGAAGAACAAAAAAGGTTTCATGCAGACAATATTATTGCTACAAACTCCAAATACGTGAAAAAGAACGATCAATTCTATTATATGCTGGAAGACTTTTGCAACAATATGTGGTTGATATGTACATTAAGCTTGAATCGACTCGTTTAGATTACTACCGGACACAACAATCACATATTCGATCTGAATTATACCAAGGAATTGTTGATAGCATTGTAGCAGGAGAATCTAGAGGAGATAAAGTTGGAAAAAGGGTTGTTCTTCCCGCTTCTTTCATAGGAGGACCTAGGGATATGCGTAGACGATACTTTGATGCCATGTGTTTGGTTCAGAGATTCGGAAAACCAGACCTTTTTATTACAATGACTTGTAATCCTGATTGGAAAGAAATTCGCGACGAACTGAAATTTGGACAGTTACCACAAGATAGACCAGATTTAACAGCTAGAGTGTTCAGAGCAAAGCTATATGATGTGAAACAACAATTATTTAAAAGATCGATATTTGGAAAAGTGGCAGCGCATGTTCATGTGATTGAGTTTCAAAAAAGAGGTTTGCCACACGCACACATATTGCTCATATTTCAATCTGAATTCAAAATTACAAATGCAGAACAATATGACAAATTGGTCTGTGCAGAAATTCCTTCTGAGAATGAAAACCCATCACTTTATCGGAAAGTAGTGAAACATATGATTCATGGTCCTTGCGGAGATCTCAACAAAAAGAATGCATGCATGAAGGATGGGAAATGTAAAAATCTTTATCCACGTAAATTTGTCGAACATACGATTCAAGGTAAAGATTCATACCCTATATACAGAAGAAGAAAAGACAGCCAAATAGTCTTTGTGCGTAATGCAATGTTAGATAACAGATGGGTTGTTCCTTATAATCCATATCTTTTAGAGAGATATGACTGCCATATAAATGTCGAGATATGCTCAGGAATAACAGCAGTAAAGTATCTCTATAAATATATATACAAGGGACATGATCGTGTTGCGATTCACATCTCAAATGTTGATGGAGGGAATTTCGTAGATGAAATAAAAGAATATCAGGATGCACGATGGGTATCACCACAAGAAGCAATGTGGAGACTTTATGAGTTTAACTTAAATGAGATGTATCCTTCGGTTACCAACCTCCAATTACACCTTCCAAATAAACACACAGTTTGGTATTGGGAGAACAAAAACCTAGAATATATCATTCATTCTGAAGATATATCACGCACAATGTTGACAGAATTCTTTCATTTAAACTCCATATCTGAAATAAGTAGAGACTATTTGTATAGGGAGATTCCGGAGCATTATGTTTGGAACAAGCAAAATAAATGTTGGAGTCCCAGACACCACAAGGCGGTAATAGGACGAGTTAATGCCGCCAACCCTTCCGAAGGAGAAAGGTATTACTTAAGATTATTGTTAAACCATGTGCGTGGACCAACATCATATAAAGATTTATTATATGTTAATGGTCTCCAATGTGTAACATTTAAAGAGTCGGCAGAAAGAAGAGGTCTACTTGAAAGCGATAATAGCATTGTTGAATGCCTCAACGATGCTGTGTGCTTCCAAATACCAATGGCTCTTCGAAGGCTTTTTGCAACTTTAATAGTTTTCTGTGACCCAAGTAATGTTAGAAAACTTTGGGATGACTATTTTGAAGCTATGTCAGAAGATTTTTTACCCGACCCCAATTCTTCCCCTGACTACCAACTCATGGAAACACTTAAGAGCATAGAAAACTATTTAATGAGCATGGGCCGGAATATAAATGATTACGATTTGCCAAATATTGATTATGCGAATGATTCCAACAGTTATGATTCCTCTAGAGAGATCACCAACGAAATGGCTATTGTTACTCCGTCTGATGATTACAATGCAATAGTAAATCTTAACAATGAGCAAGAAAATGCATATAAAACTATACTTGAATGCATAATCTCAAATCAACCAAACATCTTCTTCATTGATGGGCCAGAGGGTACAGGAAAAACGTATTTGTATCGTGCATTACTTGCGAAGGTTAGATCTGAACATGGAATTGCACTTGCAACTGCAACTTTTGGAGTGGCTTCTTCATTATTACCAGGTGGTAGGACTTCACATTCAAGATTTAAGATTCCTATCATAGCTGACGAGTCAACTACTTGTAATATTTCAAAGCAAAGTTCAACTGCAGAACTCTTACGAAAAGCCAAACTAATTATTTGGGATGAAGCACCAATGGCTAAACGTTATGCAATAGAAGCAGTTGATAGAACTCTACAAGATTTACTTGGCAATAATTTATCTTTTGGAGGAAAAGTTGTGGTTTTTGGCGGAGATTTCAGACAAGTGTTACCCGTACTACCACGAGCGACTAGAGCTGAAATTATTGAAGCAAGTCTGGTAAAGTCTAAATTATGGAAAAAAATGAAGAAACGATTGGAAAAGAACATGAGAGCAAGAAATGATCAATCATTTACAGAATTTTTACTACGAGTAGGCAACGGAGAGGAGCTGACTTTATTAGACAACATGATTCAACTACCGAAAGAGATAGTTATAAACTCTATAATTGAAGAAAACTCTGAAAATGCATTGATAGATGCTATATTTCCGTACCTTCAAGAAAATTCTCACTTAGCGGAATACATAACTAATCGAGCAATTTTAGCAACAAGAAATGATTTTGTTGATAAAATAAACGGTCAGCTCATTGAACGTTTTCCGGGAGAATCTTCAACATACTATAGCTTTGATAAAGCAAATGATGATGCTGGTACCTACTACCAAGAAGAATTTCTGAATTCTTTACTCCCAAACGGCCTTCCACCTCATAGACTAACGTTGAAAATTAATTGTCCTATACTTTTACTAAGAAATTTAGATCCTGCAAATGGATTATGTAACGGGACTAGGCTTATATGTCGTGGCACAAAAGATAACATAATCGCTGCTGAAATTTGCCATGGACAACATGTAGGAAAACAAGTACTGATTCCAAGGATACCTCTTTCCCCGGCAGAGAGTGAGGGATTGCCTTTTTGTTTTACTAGAAAACAGTTTCCAATACGATTAAGTTTTGCAATGACAATAAATAAGGCACAAGGGCAAACAATTCCTCATGTAGGAATATATCTTCCAGAGCATGTATTCTCACATGGACAACTATATGTGGCGTTATCTAGAGGAACATCAATGTCGACAACTAAAGTCTATGTTAAAAAAGACCAAAGAATTGAAGGCAATGCTAAATATACAAAAAATGTTGTCTATAAAGAGGTTTTGTTGCCAAGCATGTAAGAAAGTTTTCATATATATATATATATATATATTGCAATCTTCCACTTACATTATTATTATTTTTATTTACAATTTTCCACTTACATTAAACGTATTATTGTTTTTATCTTGTGTTACAGAAACAATCTTCAACATGAGGAACCAATGTACTTTTAACACTATAAATTCGCTAGATGTTTTGCAAAGGAATTGGACAATAAAGGTGATTGTACTTCGTAGAGGAAATGTTGAAAACTACCATAATGACAAAGGATCAGGCCAAATATTGAAAGTAATTCTAATGGATGAAGAAGTAAGTTTATTATCCATTACTTTTAGTATTCTATATTTATATTTTTTGATATTGATATATGATATATGATATATATATATATATATATATATATATATATATATATATAAATGTCAATATTATTTGATCATCTTTTACAATTTAGGGAACACAAATTCAAGCTGCATTGTTCAATGATGTGGTCACCATATTCAAGGAATCCCTAGCTCTTCATAAAACTTATATAATTTCTAATGGAATTGTGAGTCGAGTGAACCACAAATATAGAAATGTTCACAAGGAATTCGAATTAAAGTTTACAACCGAAACATCAATTGAAATCATTGAGAAAGAAAAAATAAGTTTGAACAAAATAAATTACAATTTTGTTGATTTCGAAGAGATAAACAAACACATTGACAGCAAAGAGACAATTGGTTAGTTCCCTTCAAATCTTTGTTTATATATATATTTTTTAACATTGAACTCAATTGTGAATCACAATATATCTCAATTGAATATATGAAACTAACTTGTTAAGCTTGCAGATGCTTTCGGAATCGTTATTCAAGCAAATTCCATGTTGATCAAATCTAAGAAGAAAAGTGATGGAATATCTAAAATGTGTAACATCACTATAATAGATACAAAGTGAGTAAAACTATTTTTCACAAATTCCTATTTTTAGAATAAATACTTGAAGTAATTATTAAACTATATAACAGGTCAAGAATGACGACGTTGACATTATGGGCGGATCTTGCAGAAAATGAAGGACAAAAAATAATTAAAATGGTAAACAAGAGACCAATAATCACTTTAACAAATGTGGTAGTTAACATTTACAAAGGTACACTACATATAAATAGACATCAATGTTCTCATTTTTCTTTCCTTTTTTTTGAATCAATGTTCTCATTTTACAATCTATCTTTCCTTATGATGCTACAAATATATAATTAAATAATTGTACTTTCAAGGTGTCGCTCTTCAAACACATCCAGGATCCACATTGCAGATCAATATGGACATCGACGAAGTAAACACATTAAGAAAATGGTTTGTTTTCTTCTGCTAAAAATAGTTACTTTGATCCATAAATTTAAATACTTTAAAGTATTCAATATATATAGTAATCATTACATACATACAAATTAAGTTATCACACATACATACTACAAATGCAGGTTTGATAAAACTATATCCGGCAATGATATAGGTGCTCTCATTATGAATTCAAAATCTAAAGCTTTTGATGGAGCCGAAAAAATTTGTCTCAACAAGATTATTGGAAAATCAAAAACTGCATTTATGGTATGAATCTGTATACATTTGTTTTTTAGTATAGACTTTCCATAATTATTTAATTTATTATATTAGTTTTCTTATTAAATGTTTTTTTTTTTTTTTTAAATTATTCATACAAAAATAAAATTTACTTATCATTGTTTAGAAAACAAATTATTATTTCGAAGCAACAATTCAAGAAATTGAAAATGAAAAGAAACCATGGTACGACGCTTGTATGGAATGCAACAAGAAAGTCAAACTACTGAACAGTGGTATTGTTTGTACCAATTGCAACATAAAGAATGTAAAATGCGTTCAAAGGTATTCAATTGTTATTATGATTATTACTTTTAAAATTACCTTAGTTTTAAAAACTTTATAAACGTAAATAACTTATTATTGTAATTGGTCATTATGCAGATTTGTGATGCGACTAAAAGTGACAGATACAAATGCAGAAGCAAAGATAACAGTTTTTGATGATTGTCAGTCACTAATAAATTGTTGTTTGGAAGATCTTCTACGACTAAAAAATGAGGTGACAATTTGGAATCATTAATAATATTTTAATATAAGAAAAAAAAATTGTGCATTACATTATATAATAAATTATATATATATATATATATATATATATATATATATATATAATTTATAAAAGAAAAATAAGGTTAGTTTTTTTTTTTTTCTTATAAATATTTGAAGGAAGAAGAAACAAATGAGTTCAGTGACATTGTTAAAAGATGTGAAGGGAAGTCATTTATGTTTCTGGTGAAAATAGACAACAACAATGATGAATTAATCAGAGGCCTCTTCGTCGCACAAGCAGTTAAAAAAGTTGGCCGAGACAATGATACAACAGAAGAACTTGGCACAGAACTTAACATTGACAATGATACAACAGAAGAACTTAGCACTGACAATCATCCAATAGCAGAACTTCGATCTCCCAAAAGGATAAAACGCTCTTTCCAAAGGAAAAATATAAAAATTCAGAATATTGATTCATAGTGTGTTAACTCTCATTGTTTATAATAATTAGTAATATTGCACCACATTGCGAATACTATTTGACCACAGTTCACTCTAGAATACAATATAGTTATTTTTACACTCGCCATGTTATAAATTTCTGAATTCATTTTTCTCAATTCTTGGTAATACATTAAGAATTGATCGAAATAAATTTTCATTGATATAATTAATTGATTAATTGTGTTTGGTAGAGATAAAATATATAAAAAGTTATTTTAACATAATGTATTTAATAATTAGATAGAAAGATGATTAAAACCCTCATATAAATCATATTAATATTTTAATTTGAATTAACATCTATTCCGTAAATCTAAATTAATTTTTTGATTTAAAAAAAAAAAATAAAGTCAATTTTATTTTATTTTGAGATAAAATTATATATAAAATACCAATTATTTATCTAATATAAATTTTTCTTTACGTGCATTGCACGTGTTAATTTTCTAGTATATATATATATATATGTACATATACGTAGATATGATTTTAAATAGTCAACGATTAGTATGGAATGTATTATATACATATATTTATATTATAAAATATATGTGTAAATATATATATATATATATATATATATATATATATATATATATATATATATATATTATCATTTAAGATTATTAAATATTATAAATCTTATTTGGTATAACTTGATTTATGGATGGTATGGTTGATTTAAAATCGTAATAGATACTCGGTTAATAAATTAAGGACATGCTTATAATATGCATGTGAAGTCTAGGTATAATTAAACTTAGAGTTAAGTTTAAAGTTAGTACATGGTTGAATTGTAGGCATGGATGAGTTGCCTAAGGCTTTGATATATTGCCTTATTGGTTATGAATAAATTTCATATATGGAAAACATGGTTGAATTGATAATTAATTTTATAAGTAAAAATACTTAAGGAAGCATGGTTGAATTGCTAGTATATAAATAAATATATTTACAAATGGCATGGTTGATTTGCCGGTGCTTAATTAAGTTGCTATGTGTTTAGATGTTTAAAATGTCATCTAAGGTTAGGGTATGTATAGGTTGGATTATGACTAGAATAATTTAGTGCATACAGGATAGTGTATTATTGTATATATGTTAATAAAATAATAGTGGTGGAGACATGGATGATTTGTCAAAGCTTAAATTTTGAATATGTAATTTAAATAATCAAAAGTATTATTGGGTTTTGGATTTATCGGATGTTTTTTTGCTAAATTGTAAGTTATTGTTTAAATGACTAAATTATTGTTTAGGATGGAATTAAGGCGAGTGAGTTTACTTTATGAGAAAATTATAAAGGGGGGGCTTGGTCTAGGTATGATTAATAATTAATTATTGGTGAGTGGTTTTGGACAATTTAATGCCCTATTAACAGATAGGATTATTGTAATATATATATAAGTATGTATATATTTTTGTAGCATCGAATATTAAAGTTAAAGCTTTATTAAGGATGGTTTTAATAAAGATGATCTGTTTATTGGTTTTCAGAGGCTTGGTAGAGAGAACTTGCTCGTAGGGTTTAACTCGCGATTTATTTTTCAGATTGTTAGAAGGTCAAGTCTCAAGGTTGAGGATCCGCAGCTGGAGGACTTATCCATTCCTTCCGTTTATTTAAAAGTAGGATATTATTATTGTTTCATTTTATATTGGTATTTAACAATGAACTTCTGAATAATGTATTTTGGTTAAGGGGTCCTTGAGTTACAGGATTCCTGAATTGTAAGTTTTATAGAATTAGTAATAGAACTTTTATTTAATAGATTTCCTTCAGCGAGTTATTTATTCTTTTTATTTCTTTTTGTACTCTGTGCTTGTTTGAAATACTTTAATTGTTTTGATATTTTCCTGATTTTGTGCGCGGATTTGATCAACCCGTGTTTCGAAATTAGGGGGTGTTACACAAGTCAAACCCCTTCTACTTGGTCTAAGCAAGAGATAGATAAATTTCTAGCTAAGGTTAAGGAATATTTTTGGAATGACCCCTACCTGTTTAAGTATTGTCAAGATCAAATCATCCGTAGGTGTGTTCCCGAGGTAGACTAAGAGTCCATCATTTCATTCTGTCATAATCAGGCCTGTAGTGGCCATTTTAGCTCTAAATGGACCTCTACAAAAATCTTACAACCAGGCTTTTATTGGCCCACCCTTTTTAAGGACACCCATACCTACTGTGTAGCATGTTCTCGATGCCAACTCTTAGGTAAGATTACCAAAAGGAATGAATGGCCCCAACAATTTATACTAGTGGTTGAAATCTTTGATGTTTGGGGTATTGACTTCATGGGACCCTTTATCTCTTCACATGGGTCTACCTATATCCTTCTGGCCGTTGATTATGTGTCTACATGGGTAGAAGCCTTAGCCACCAAGACAGCCGACCATAGGGTTGTGGTGAAATTCTTGAAAGACTTAATTTTGTCTCGCTTCGGTACACCTTGAGCCATAATCAATGATAATGGTTCACATTTCTGCAACAAAGTCTTTGCTAGCCTAATGTCCAGATATGGATCACCCATAAGGTAGCCCTATCTTACTACCCATTAACCAATGGTCAGGCTGAGGTATTCAATAGGGAAATCAAGCATATCTTAGAGGAAACGGTTAAACCCACAAGAAAGGACTGGAGTCTCTGCCTTCATGATGCTTTATGGGCCTATCATATTGCTTATAAGACCCCTATAGCAATGTCTCCATACTAATTAGTCTATGGTAATGCCTGTCACTTGCCTGTCGAACTAGAACATCGTGCTTATCGGGCCATCAAGGCCATAAACTTTGATTATGATCAAGCTGGTGAACGTATGACACTTTAACTTAATGAGTTGTAAGAACTCAGAAATAATGCTTATGAGAGTTCAAGGATTTATAAAGCTAAGACTAAATTGGAACATGACAAACAAATTTTAAGAAAGGAGTTTTTCCAAGGCCAAAAGGTTCTTTTGTATAACTCTCGTCTTGCATTGTTTCCTGAGAAGTTGAGGTCACCATGTTGCTAGTCATGGTGCCATTGAGGTACAATATCCCAAAACTACAAAGCTGTTTAAAGTCAATGCTCATCGTTTAAAGCATTTCCTTGAGTTTGAGGCTCATGTCATTGAGGAAATTTTCCTCGTCGATCCGGTCTATTCGGACTAATCTCTTTTGGGGGAACTTCCCCCATTGCGTCAGGCTGACGACATTAAACTTAGCGCTTTTGGGAGGTAACCCAACCGGTTGTGTCTATTCAGTTACCTTGGATTGATTTTTGAGTCTTAACCAATTGTATCTCACTCCTACTCGTTAGCTCCGTAACTGTTTAGTATTTAAATATGGTTATATTTTGTTTGGAGGTGCTATATTTATTTGATATGGTTTTCGATTGTTTTCCATAACCTCTTTTGCAGAAATTGTACTCTACATCAAAACCAGTGAGGTAATATATTCCAATGTTTCCCTATATGTCTCCACCTATACTTGTCCATTTAATTTCCATATTCTTTGGTGCCAACACTAGGGTCAGTGTTATTTTTTGTTTGGGGGTGGGGCAATGCTCTTGTTTCTATGGAAATTATAAGTTGAATTGCATGTCATGTCCAATTTAGGTGAATTATTGTTCATGTATGATTGTGAATTGGTATTTTATGACAGTTTTGAATCTTTAATTTATGTTTTGGTATTTGTGATCCACATCATTGTCCAGTTTGACTATTGTTAATGATAATTAGTCCCTAGTGTACTTCATTTCTCACAGATGCACACTAGTATCTTTTTGTGGGGTATAGACCTAACCTTATGCGATATATTACATGTGTTGGATACGAGTTAGTAGACCTTGAAAAGTAGATGTCATTGGCATGATGATAGAGAAATATGCATGATTAGTTACTACCTTTCACGAAGTAATCGGGCCTCTTGCCTCAGTAAGTAGTGAGTGTTTGCGTCAAAAAGTGGAGGGTTAGGAAAAAAATGAATGTGTTGGTTTAGGTTCGAAGCCTAGTTGACTTGAGTTAATAAGCTCTTTGGAGTGTATTTACACCTAATGCCCCAAAACAGTCTGGTTGGGAGTCATTAGCTTAAACCTCGTTACATGGGTCATCTAGAAAGCTTAAGGGACTTAAACATTGCATAACTTGCCATCTTTAAAAATAAAAAAATAAAAAAAGGCTGGAAGAAAGAAAGATGAAAAATTTGCATGCATAAGTAAAGTCATGAATTTATGCCTTTGGTACTCTAACTTGGAAGGGAATATTAACCAGTTGAAGCTATTGTGATGTGTAATATAAGGACAAAAGGGTAAAACACATAATTGGATGCTAGTTCACTTCAAAAGGAAACTAGGAATTGATTGTTATTGGAAATATGTTGAATTGAACTTTGTGTGGGGACCATAGTATTATTGCATGTAATTAGAGGTTTATGATTGCTTGAGAATATTAATCTTTCTTATACTTGACATAATAGCTAACTTGATGATGATGTGTATGCAATCGTTTCTGATTCCAGTGAAGTAACTGAGCTAAGTGCAAAGTGTGCACAATTTTGGATGTTTGTGGGTATCATCTCTGGAAACCCTCACGAGGTTATAACTCGTCCACTAGGGTAACCTAGGGGTTTAAGGCCTTATTGCATATGGTAAATACAATCGAAAGTAGCCTGCGAAAGTGGTATATTTTTAGTTAGGAGTCAGTTAAAGTAATAATTTTGTAAACCTGTCTCTTTTTGCCTTTAATTGCTAGAGGACTAGAAAAGCTTGTTTGGGGGTAATTTGATAAGTACACAAAACTTTTTATTTAATACGTAATAATAAATGATTAATTAATATTTTTCATTAAATAAATATGCTTATATCTGCTTTTCATGTTTTATAGGGGCTGATTTCAGAATAAGAAGAAAAGAAACAAAAATAGCGGAAACGTGGGATTATACGATCAATCAAAGTCAAATTAAGAAATTTCCTTTTCCATTAAATCAGCAAAGATCAAGCCAAA